CGTGCTTTGCTGGAACAATTTGCTCCAGACTTCCCGGGCTTCTGCAAAGTGGGCACCGGCTACAACAAGCAGATAGACCTTGATGCCACGGGGTTCATAGCCGTGACGGACTCTGTTTATTTGCTGAAGAACCTCGAATTTGATGCGATTCTCGTTGATGAAGCCCATCATCCTTTGCCGACTGGCATGCCCAAGTGCAAAGAGTTATATCAGCTCTCCGCAACTCACAAAGATGAGCCGGACTTTCGCTACAGCATGGGGCAGGCGATCGAAGACGGAATCCTTTCTCATTACGACATCACTGTGCCAGTGATAAGCAAGCATCATGCGTATGTGTGCCTTGCAGGCTTGCTTCTGAAGCAACCTGGACGGTTTCGCAGGGTGTTGGCCTATTGCAACACGGTTGCCGAAGCAAAGCGCTTTCAAATGGTTTTGGAAGAGCTGGGGTTGGCTGCTTGGCACATCAATGCAAGAACGAAGCCGACAATACGGCAAGCCGTCATGGCAGAATTCGCTGGTGAGTTGCAGAAACCAGTGCATGTGCTGGTGACGGTGGAGGTCTTGGGAGAAGGATCAACATCCCAAATGCCGACACTTGCATGTTTGTTGAGCCACGGCAGAGCTACCGGAGCATTGTGCAGGCCATCGGGCGAGTTTTACGCTGGAATCCAGCCAAAACCATTGCGCACATCGTTCTACCTGCCGTGGTGCTACCAAATGTGAAATCAGCTGAAGGCTCATCAGAGCAGGGGAGAGCTGGACATGACGCTGCTAGTGAGCAGGCTCATGTGTTTTTGTCAAGTGTGCCTGCACATCGTTCCGGTATGAAGAGCCTCGGCGGCTACGCATCTTCAACTTCCTCTCCCCATGAGAATGGAGCGCAAACGACGAATACGTTCAAGAGCACCGCTGATTTTTTGGACAGCTTGAGTCGCCAAGTGGTGGAGCAAGAAGCAGCATCTGGTCTTTCGCCATCTCAAGCACGGCACGGCAACCGCAACGTGCCGGAAAAGTCTTTTTGGAGGAGCCCTGTTCATAATCCACAGCAAAGAGCAGTTCCCTCAAGGCGTGAGGAGAAGCAAGGAGAATTGCCTGGAAATTGGAACTCGGTCACTTCTGTGGACAGCCTGCAGCTGAATAGCAGGGGCAAACCTGCTACAGTGAGGTGCGCTGCAAGTGGTCAAGCTCAGCTTCCAGATAGTTTGTCACAAGCAGGCACAGGCAGCAGCAACATAATTATAAGCCGAAGTGGTGCTTGCGCCAGCCAGAATGCTGACACAGTGGGCCCTGAGACTGAGGCTGCGCGGCCAGGGGGCAGCCGCAGCCGATACCGTGAAGCAGACCCTCTTGATGGCATCCGGCGCAACGGTCGTACCAAAACCACTAGGCCAGAGGTTAGTGAGCTGCCTACTTTAGCTAGCACAGAGAGGGGCAGTCCAGATGAAGAAGCTCGTCACAGCGATGCCTTTGCAAATCGGTCCCCCTCACCCACAGGCAACACCAAACAGGATACTCAGCAGACTCCTCCTAGCCTGGCAACTGAAGCACAGCCGCATCGGATGATGCGAGTAGCATTCAGAAGAGAGAAGCAAACACGGTTGCCGTTTGGGAGCAGTGATGGGGTTGAAGCTTTTGACAAGAAGTACAAGAATCAGCTGGAGCGCGTTTTGGGAGCCTTGGTGCAAGCAGATCACAGGTGGATTGGGGCTGATGCCGCTGCCGGACATAGAATCCAAATTGTCGATTGGAGCTTGGGCCTGGAAGGAGAACTTGGGGTGGACGGATTCATGAAAGAGGTGTATGGCCGACTCGACGCTGTTTTGTCTGAAAGGGACGCATGGGAGACTCGCTTCAGAGAATTGGAAGCCTTTGCCGAGGAGAACGGGAGGCTTCCTCGACAGGGGACAGCTGATTGCGATCGTGCTGAGGCAGTGCTGCGCAACTGGTTGATTACCCAAACCAGGCGCGTCAGGTTGCAGCAAATGCCAGCCCACCAACTTCAAAGACTGCTGAATGCAAGATCCGATCATATCCGCAGGCGTGCTGAAGGCTGGATGGCCGGTGGCCTTGTTGGCCGCTTCAAGCAGAACTGCCGGGAGCTGAAGGAGTACATAGAGATGAATGGCAAACTTCCAACCGAAACGCGAACCAAGCGCAAGTCTTCCAGCCACCGGCTGGCGAGGTGGCTCGCGGGACTTCGAGACGAGGGATTGTATGACAAGCCTGAGAGGAGGAAGATGCTGGAGGAAGTGGACCCTTTGGTGAAAGAGCGCCTCCAGAACTGGGACGACAGCCCGTTCGAAATCAACAGGGTAAAGTGGGAAAAGCAGTTCGAGAAAGTCCTCCACATCGTGGAGAAGCATCGGCGGCTCCCGGAACGAACGTTGGAAAAAGCAGAGTACGAGTGGCTCTCGAGGCAACTCCGACGGCTCGACAGCAGTCTGCCGCCTGAGCTGGCAAAGCGGCTTCGTGGCTCCCATCCACTCATCGCAGCAGAAGCTGCCAGGACCTCAGGAGGTCGGAACAAAAAGGGCCGCTGCTATTCTCAAGGGTCCTGGCTGCCGGTGCAGGGGATTGATACAAGTGTCAAGTATCATCAAATATCCGGTATCGGTGAAGTTTGTCTTGATTGAAATGTGTGAAGTGATTTGGGTTCGCAGACCTCAAAGAAGGCCAA